TATACACATATAAACATTCTTTTCTTTTCCATATGGTTTATCACAGGATAATGAATAAAGTTCCCTGTGCTATACAGTAGGATCTTGTTGTTTGTCCATCCTCTATATAATAGTTTATATCAGCTAATCCCAGACTCCCTGTCCTTCTCTCCCCTCCTCTCCTCCAGCTTGCCAGTCACAAGTCTGTTCTCTACATCTGTGAGTCTGTCTCTGTTTTATAGATAATAGGTTCATTTTTTTGCCCTTATTTTAGATTCCACATATAAGTGAAATCATATGGTATTTGTCGATTTCTTTCTGACCTACTTCGTTTAGTATGATCTCTAATTGCATACATGTTGCTGCAAATGGCACTTCATTCTTTTTTTATGGCTGGGTAGTTTTCCTTTGTATATATACCATGTGTATATATACCATCTGTCGATGGACATTTAGGCTGTATCCATGTCTTGGCTGTTGTGAATGGTGTTGCTGTGAACATACGGGTGCATGTATCTCTTTGAATTAGAGTTTTGTCTAGATATGTGCCCAGGAGTAAGATTGCTGGATCATATGACAATTCTATTTTTAGTTTTTTGAGGAACCTCCATACTGTTTTTTGTAGTGGCTTAAGGTCCTGCTGCTTTAATGCAGTTTTCCACCTCAGCCGTATCCTGCTTAATTTCCTTGTCAGAGTCCCGTTCAAGAAGTAAACTCCTTTAGGTTCTGTCTTTTTCAAAACTATATGCCATGTGCCTAGTACAATCCCGTGTGTAGGAAAGGAGGCGTGATAGACCTTGAGGTTGGAGAAGCAGAGATGAGTGAGGCATACCCACTCTCTAAGAAGTTTATGGGACGATAAATGAGAGGACCAGCATGCATGTAATACAGTTGGTGGAAGGAAAGAGAGCGTGGTATTGGGAGGGAGGGGCAGAGAATTGCGAAAGCCTAGGTTATAAGGGAGAATTGTAGTGTTTTAATGGGTACTGGGATGTGATGAAAGCAAACGGGCCTCACAGAGACCCAGGGTTGAATGCTAGCTCCATGTCCAATGAACTCTGTAACCTAGAAGCTCTGTGACTTGGGTGGAGTTCACCTCTCTGGACCTGTTTCACTACCTCTAAAATATACACTTACCTCAGAACTCTGTTAGGAGAAATAACATAATTTTTAAGTATCTAGCACAGAAGTTAGTTTATTGCAGGTACTCAGTAAACATGAATTTTCCCTTAGAATAAGGATTGAGCACTTGGAAATCTCACCTGGGACTTCCCAGGTGGTGGCGCGGTGGAGAAGAATCTGCCTTCCGGGGCAGGGGACACAGGTTGGATCCCTGGTCGGGGAAGATTCCAGCTGGCACGGAGCAGCCTGCGCCCACTGCACAACTGCTGAGCCCGCGCGCTGCTCCGGAAGCCCCCACGCCTCGGGCCTGTGCTCTGTCCCAGGAGAAGCCGTTGCAGCGAGAAGTCCCAGCTCCGCGGAAAGAATAGCCCCCACTGACTGCCGCTGGGGAAAGCCTGCACGCAGCAACGAAGACCCAGCGCAGCCAAGGATAAAGAAAATAAAAATCGCATTAGAATGTTTTCCTGAGTGTTAGGAATTTATTGGAAAATATCCCAAAGAGGAGGGCATGGATGTGAATGAAACATCTGGGGAGAGAAGAGAGAATTAAGATTGAATGGACATGGTGGTGGTAGATTTTTAACTTGTTGGAAATGTAATTTTCACTGCTATTATAAAACATAAAGAAGACATACTTCACAATTTATGTATCTATTTTCTTGTTTATTTCTAGAGAGTTTCTAACTAGTTTATCTCTGAGAGGCTGGAGACACATCCCTCTCTCTGTCTGTCTCTCTCACACATACTCACATGCAGACACACACACACCATTTATATTTACAAACTCAAATCTTATTGTTTTTGCTTTGATGAAATTACTTGTAAAGCTTTATTTTTCAAAAAGGGACAAAGAAGGATAAACACTTTTGAATATGAGATTTATGTTTAATGTGATCAAAGTAGAGAAGTTGAGAACAAGATGGGTTCCAAGTAAGACAAATACAATACAATACACAATGTAATACCTCCCCATCCATAGCAGGGAATGTAAACACTGTAGAATATGATGCAGAATAAACATTTCAAAAGCATGGCAGAAAACATTTTGGGGATCTGATGAGCCATCCATTAAGGAGAACACAGGAAGAGCCTAACAAAGTGCCAGTCACATGAAGTTAAGTATCAGGAAACTGTTTCCAGACTGTATGACATGGCTGAGATGGGGAGAGCTCAGAGACTGCCAAGAGGGAACAGTAAAAATAACAGTGCCATTTGGGAGTGACCCTAATTAAATAGGAATAAAGCCTTGAAATTAAACAGAATAATTAGCCTTGAGAAAAGAAGTCCTAGAGGAGAATCATCTTGTCTTTCTTCATTATAAAAAAAAAAACAATGTTGAAAATGGGCAATTTCAGTACCTGCAGGCATTTAAGACTGAAGTTCATTTTAGTTCTCCCTCATTCGTTCATTCAGAAAATGGATTTCAGGTCTTTGTCATGATGGTAAAGTCATCCAAGTGGTAAAGGGGGTGTCCTGGGATTTAGTGATTCTTAAGATTTAGTGATTCTTAGGGGCAATGCGTGGCATTTAACTGGTGACAGTGTGGAGCATGGCTCAGGAGATACAGTTCCAACTCTATGTTCCAGGATAGATTGTTTTCTCCAAAAAAAGCACTCATGGGGACCGTGTGACGTCCATGCAAAGCTTGACTGATACTCATGCTACAGCTTTCTACTGGCCTGCCTCGAGTGTGTTCACGTGCACCAGGACCCCGTCTGATAGCAAAGGCTGTCATATGGGAATTGTTAAATATGTTACGGTCTAGACTGTGGGATATAATTAAGGGTATTAAGAAACATGATACTTATTATTTAAGAGAAGGTAGGAAAATATCCAAGATAACACTGCTCAAAAGGGAGGAAAGAGCATTAGCATAACATTTAATTGTGATCTCACATGTGTGGGGGAGTATATGTGTATATTCAGATGAATGTGGCTGCAAGTCCATCACCCACCGTCTATGTACCTGCAGGCTATGCTGTAGGGAAGACCAAGAGTGAGAGGAGAAGGGGGGGTGGGGACCTCTTATTTTTTATTCCATGTTTTTTTATATGCTTCACATTTTTACAACATCCGTGGCCTTCATTTTGTAATTTAAATAAGAAATGAGATAATATCCATGAAGCTTGGAGCATAACATCTGCCATGTGGCCGGCAATAAATGTTAATTGGATATTAATAGGATGGCAAGAAAATATGACTTGCTCAGAATGACTTAATCTGCATATAGCATCATATTGATGGTTGTATAAATAAGTATTTTCTCTCCATGCTAAAATGAAATATTTTAAATTACAGTTAATAGATTCTAGGTTAAATATGTTATTCTGCTCACTTAATCACTTAGGATTTAATTATTCAAAGAGAAGTTTTGAACAGGAAGCCTTCCAAATCTAGGTAACATCAGACTTTGTTTAAGCAACAGAAATTTCCCCTCAGCTATTAGGGTTTTATCTTTAGAGTGCAGGAGTGAGTGCTAATCTGCTTCAGTCATGTCCCACTCTTTGTGACCCTGTGGACTGTGGCCTGCCAGGCTCCTCTGTCCATGGGATTCTCCAGGCAAGAATACTGGAGTGGGTTGCCATGCTCTCCTCCAGGGAATCTTCCCAACCCAGGGATCGAACTCATGTCTCTTTATGTCTCCTGCATTGGCAGGTGGGTTCATTACCACTAGCACCACCTGGGAAGCCCATCTTTGGAGTAGTAAACTTCAAAAATATTTAACATTCAGAATTCATTATTTTCTGTTGTTGAAAACCAAGATCAAATCATTTTCCTTATGGAAATCCATACCACAACAACCAATATATATTCAGTAAATTGAATTTAAATTTTATTTTGTGGAACTTTTTATTATAAAAAATTTGAAATATACTGTAAGTAGATCATCTTGTATTATATTCATTTAATCATTCTAGTTTTGTGAAAAGTTATGAATAAATTAAATTGAAAATCAATTTTTTTCTGAAATATATTGAGAACCTCTCTTAAAATTCTTCCTGATGAGTTGCTTTGCAATTAGAAGAACCATTTACAATTTGAATTAACATGTTCACAGTTATCTTCTGGGCAAACTGAGCCTTCTACCTAAAGCAAGATCTTCCTAAAGTGAGATACTGTTGTACTGAGATGATAGATCAGGTTGGGATTCAGAACATGAAAACTTCAAATTATTTCTTTTTATATGCTGACTGTGTTACTAAGTATCTTAAAACTTATTTTTCTGTCTTTATTTTTATTGGGTTGATGTGGTGAAAAAATTTTTCCTATGATGACATAGTATATTTTAATAATCATATTTCCTTAATTTTTTAAGACCCTTATATTTTTTCTTTTGCATGCTTCTAAAATAGATTTAATATTTTCTAACCCTGATCTCCTGAGAAACTAATTTATATATTGTGTTAGAATTTATGAAGTTTGGCATGTGATATTTTGTATTAAAGATATAAGGCAAAATTGAGGTACTATCCAAGTAATCAACTTCTAAGACATGCCCCCCCCCGCCACGCCCCCACCACACCACCCCAAGAAAAGAATTTAGCAAAAGTAAATGGTGGTGTTTTCACAGTTCATCACCAAACACTTGATTCTCCAATCTCTCAGTTGGAAAGTGACCTCCTCCTCCCATGGACTTTTCAATAGTGGGGATTTGGTGGTGGTATGTTTTCAGGTTTGCTTTTGGCGAAGTAACTGATTTGTTCTTTCCCTCTTGGGAATGTCTACAAATAAATAACATGAAAGTGAACCTTCTGTATTCCACTCATCTTGCATTGTGCATCCCTCTGTTTCTTGGCAAAGGAACCAACAACAGGGACAAAGGGCTGCCTTGAGTGTGTGATATTTCTAACCTGCTGAAGGCACAGAACCAAACTTGCCATCTTCGTTTCCATTCCCAGATTACGCTCGATTTGAGGCCAAAATCCATGACCTACGAGAGCAGATGATGAACCACAGCATGAGCTCCGGGTCCGGGTCCCTGCGAACCAATCAGAAGCGTTCCCTCTATGTCAGGTAGGCGACAGCGGGTCTGGGCCCCTGCGAGCCAATCAGAAACGTTCCCTCTATGTCAGGTAGGCGACAGTGTGTTTCTTACTGGGACCTGCACTTGGGAGCCCTCAGCCTGGGGAGACCCCGAAACACCCTGTAGCGAGGGGACACGTGTTCTTCATTAACCCATGCTCGCCAGTACACCACTGTAAGACCTTACATTTAACCATTGTGAAGAAGCTTTTGAAATGTTATTAACTATGTTAAATTAGTTAAAGTCCCCTGCTCTTAACAAGTTCTTTGACCATGTTGTGATCCAAGGTAAAGTTCTTAGCACAGGTTGTAGTAAAAATAGTGAGAAGAAATATTTTCAGTTCAGATGCATCTTAAACTGAATATATGGGCTGAAGTACTGGACATCTGCTTACCATCAGTATGGGAATAAAATATTCTCATATTTCTTCCTGGCTCACTTGACCCCTATCCTATTAACTTTGGTGTATTGATTAGAAATCAGTACTCTCTCGAAGAGTTATGTCATTTTTTTCTTAAAGTTTGGTAGAATGACTTTTTTCTGTGGCATCTCATTACCAATTGTTTCTCAAACCATAAATGTTACTTGTTCCTTGACTGACAAAACTCATTAACTTATCAGAAAAAAAAGATGATTGATTTAACTTGAAATGCCTTCTGGTCTTTCATCCCCATAATTAATTCTTGAGTAAGGTCCATCATCACTCAACTGTAACATGCACCTCTTCTTAGCATAAAACCTCCTATATTCCTTTCAAAATATACTTTATCAGTACTGACTCTAATTTAAAAAACCCCAGAAAACAATACACTATAAAAGTTCAATGAATTTGAAATACCCAGTTCTTTATTAAAAAATAATGCATGATATTTCTTTGAGGATTTTATGTCATATTAGAGCATTAATTTCTATTTTTTTCACAGAATTAGGAAAATCTTCCTAATTCCTATAGGAAACTATTCCTCATTCCACTACCATTCAATTAAAAAGAAATGATGACTTATAATAGTAAGAATGATATTGTAAGTATTAATGGCCAAAGTAGGATAGTGATGCCCAGTTAGTGAAAATGAATCCAGGTATCATTGGGGGAACCACGCCCATCCTCACTGTATTCTCTTGGGATCTGATCTGACTCCCACTTAGGGTCATATCCTTTAGACCTGAAATTTCACCATCTTGTCTTGACACGAGGTGCATGTTACAGGCATTCATTTGTAGTATACTTAGATAGATTTGTCCTGTTGGTCTCGTTGTGGCTATAAGGAATTCTTTGTGTGCCTTAGGTAGGTACAGCAGGGCTAAGGAGGGAGGAGGATTCCAGAAGGCAGCAGTTTCTCGAAGGCCTTGGTTTGCTGGCCTCTCTGACAAGCATAGAGTCCCTTCTTATTCCAGGGAGCTCCAGTATCTCAGAAGCCCTGATATTTAAATTAAAAAAATCAGAATATGAATATCCCAAATTTGTTCAACTGCATTTTTGAAGATTATTTTGGTCCATGTCTGTATAACCTGTTAGAAGGAAGTATTGAGAACGACCCTAGGACATGCCTTGTAGTGACGTCACAAATACGACGGAAAGCAGCTGTTTCTGTTTCTCCTCACTTGTGTTGTATTGCTGGTCTTGTGATATAAAATATTTTCTAAATCCTGAAATGCTTTAGTCTTGGGTAGCAAATTAGGAAAAGTCAACTAAGTTAATAGGATAGAGATAAATCAGCTAAAATTAAACAGTTATATAGAATAAAACTGTAAGGAAAAATGATCATATTGTTGCTATCTTGTTAAAAAGTAGAATGCATAAAAATGTTCACGTACTAGGAGGAGTTTGCTGAAAATATACCAGTAATAACTTAGTCCTTTTAAGTAAGTTGTGGAAGATTCCGAAAGTGAAATGAAGTGATATGATGCTTTTATGTAAAACTAATAGGCTTATTTGAAATAGTAATATTGCTCAGAATCAGACCTTTATTCTCTGAAATGGTAAATAAAACTATAACATACAAAAGAGATGAAGACTTAAGGTAATAAAGAACATTGTCTTGTCAGTGCTCTAATAGTTGGATATTGTATTAAAGGAGGAACTCCTGTTAAATAAGGCTCAAAAATAGCTGAAAATTCATGACAATTTTCCCAAATTATTTCTTTACAAGATACCAAAACTATCTTGTACAGGTCTGACCTCAGTTTCTAGATGACTCTTAGAGGCATAGAATTGCAAAAGATGTGGACCATGAATAGAGTCAAATCAGAGGGAAAGAACTTACAAGATCCCCTAGCCCTGTTCTCACGCAGTGTGATAAATTAATTAATTTCATTAATTAATGAAATAGAAAAGCCTAAATGGAATTCTTTCTCAAAATGATTTGGTATGTTTATACCTTTGTTGTTTGTTTGTTTAACACTAATTTTGGCTGTAGATTTTCAGATATGTTTGTTTCATTTAGATCACTTAAATAGAACTAGTGCCAGTTGATTGTGTTATTTTAGAAAGTCAACTAGATGCTGTTTCAAAATAAATCAGTAGCAAAATTTCTCTGATTATATAAATATCAGATGATGAGCATGTCTCTTTAATCCCAGAATGACACCCTAGAGTATTATCCCCTTTACCCTGCTCAGCTTTATATAATGCTCGGGCTGGAATCTTAGCTATCACCAGGCCCACTGTTTAATTTACAGAAGGGGAAATTCCTTCCCCAGGAGGAAGGGGCCCCACAGCCGCTTGGCGGCAGAGTTGGATCTCCTGCCTTCCAGAGCCATCTATCACTCCAGCTGCCTTGGGCCCAGCTTATGCGTATCAGCTGTTCAGTGCGCTTTGGCTGTGAATCCCAATGTGCTTCTGTCAGCACAGTGGCTGACTCTTGGATTATGAAACAGATTAGCTGAGAGGGGAAATTAAAAAAGAATACTTCTTTGGGGTTTTTACACAGGATAAACTGTACTATAGGGCTTTCATATGGGATTTCTTTAGTACTATTCATATTATTCCATGAAGCCAAAACCTAAGCCAGAAAGCAAGCTTCTTCTTTGTTCTGTAATAAACAATTTAGCTGACTTAGTAGAATATTTGTTTGTACCACAAAACCACCTTCCCCTTGGAGTTACCTCCTCTTCCCTACACACCATACACTGTCGTTCTCTCTCACACACACACTCTCTCTCAACATTAGCCCTATGCTGGCTGTGTCCAAGACGATGCATCTTCTCAGGCTCATGCAGAAATTGGCCTCCTTCCCTTCCTAGAAATAGTCCCCCTGGTGATGGCGATGTATTTGCCTGGCAGGGAACTAGCACATCTATCCAGGCAGTGTTGTAAACTTGAGCCAACCCTCTCTATTTTCCAGTCTAGTTGTAATTATTTTCCTTCTTCTAATCTTTTTTGTAAGGCACTTGAAGTGCTTTGGTCATGCCATGCAAATGGAGTTGATTGTCGCTAATAATAATGCTGTACATGTTCTATGCCAACGATTTGGATCTGCTTGGTTGAATGGGCTATGTGTATTGTGTATTTCCTGCATTGTGAAACCTATGTAGTTGTAGAACCTTAAACGTAAATAAAACGTTAAAAATTTGAATAAAAATATTTTTCAAAATGCTCCACAAGTACATTATCAGTTCTTCAGCCCTAGATGCCACCTGGGCTCCTGGTATGGGTTTGTTGCATGTACTTTGGGGCTCCATATATGTGCAGGTTGAGGTCTCTCTACTGCTACAATACGCACTCCCGTTGGTATCTTTCTATCAGCTCTGAATGCATCCCACTAGCAGAACAAGGCTTTTCCTCCTTCTAATAGGATGTGCCTTTAAATCTGAAAGGTCCGAGTAGGGGGTTAAGTTCACTCAGAGTGCAGACGCTAAGGAGAGAGCCTTTCTGTTGATAAAAGAGAACCAAGGGCACCCAGGACACTGGGGGGATGGGGACGGGAAGAAAGAAGAGCAGGCAAGTCCACCAACGGGGGGTAAGAGGTCACAGGAGAGCATATAAAAGAGAAACCTGGTCCTTGTTCATCTGTTAACAAAAGATATTGATTTGAAGAGTTCGAGGGAATAAGCTTTCTGTTGTGAATTTAGGTTTAAAAGTCAGTAACTCTTATTTATTTATGCATTCATCAAGCGTGTTTTGGATGTATATTCTGTACCAGAACCTATAATGGACACTGAGGACCTGAAAGTCATGCCCCGTCCTCAAGGAACTTGCATCTAGTGCAGCAAGGAGATGAGGGGAAGACAGTCATAATGCAGAGTAGTATGAAAAGTTAGTTCTAGAAAGGCCAAGAACCTTTATTGCTACCTTATACAAAGATATCTGAATTAATTCTTAAAGATTTTATAAAAGTTAATTCAGAGGCCTTCAAGCCTTTTTTACTCAAAATAAGAAATACATTTTTCTCATGACCCAGTAAATACATACACACGTAAAGCTGAAAAAAAAAATTTTACTATTGAAGTTTATGTTTTATGTACAGTAAACTTTGCTATTTTCCATTCTATTTCTCTCATTCTTTAAAAAATGGAAGTCACAACTCATTAACTTGATTTAATGACTCACTAATGGGATGTGGTCTATAGCTTGCAGATGGAATAGACAAGGAAGAGCATTCTAGGTAGATGACACAGGACCCAGGCAAGAGAACATGCCTGCATTACATTGTAGTCAGCATCTGTGGGGTCCCCCTTCCAGTTCCCCATAGGTGTCATCAGCACCCCATCCTTACAACTGCTCCCGTTCCTCCTCTACGTTCTTTAGCCACTCTAAGCCCTCTGCTCACAGTTTTCTGTTCTGGATTTGAATTATTTACTTCCTTCTGTGGTTCTAAATCCACATTTTAAACTGGTAGCTCAAACTTTGTACTTTCTTTGACAGTTTTTCCTTCAAAGCCTATATATGACAAATGTTGAGGTCTGCCTCCTGCTCTATTGTTTAAATCTTTTACAAAAAGATTCATCAGAGCATCAGTTCTTTCATTCAACAAACATGATTTCACATGAA